ATCATCGCTGACATGTTAGCTTACCTTTTCAAATTTGTAATGCAACATATCAGGGATGTATGTTTATTTATCTTTTCAATTGATTTTTAAATAAAATACTAAACATTTTTTGGATGAATTATATTTTATTTTTATGTTTTATAAAATTAAAATATTCATATTTACATAAAATAATATTATAACAAAATTCTCTCAAAAAAAATTTAAAATTCTGAAATAGTAGACATGATCTGAAATATGATATGACTGTGTTAATAACCCAAAATTTTTATTTTTTAGACTACTAACATAAAACATTGAGTTACCAATAGAACTTGACTCAATTCGAATATCCTAGGGACGTCAATGTTTGTTGTTTTTATCAGAATCCAATCCTTTAAAATCATTTGGTATATATGGTCCAAAATTATTAAAATTAAGTTTAAAACTGAATCATATAAAGCTAATTTACTTTTTTTACTTTTAAATAATAGATCTAATTGTTATTTTCATCGGTTAACTGAAGAAATGAAGAACATTTGAAAATCATGACGAGATTCTACTTTGAAATCAGAAGAAATTTCTAAATTTAATTTTGTCCACTGTTCTCTGTTGATTCATTATATAATTTATATATAATTTTATTTTTAATCGTTTAATATGAAAGTATTTTTTTTATTAAATTTTAACAATTTTCGCGTTAGTTCCATGTAATTATATCGACAATTTTTATTGGAATTTTACTCCTAATGGTAAACGATGAAACGTTAGTCTATCTTGAGATATTTATTAAATAGATATACAAATTTTCATTTAATTTTTGTTTTAATAGTATTAAATATCCTTTTGTTTATATTTCAGAAACAAAAAATTGCAAAATATAATGATAAACACAATTGATTCATATCAAGGCCATGAACGAGATTTTATCATTATATCGAATGCACGTACAGTTGGAATAGGATTCCTATCAAGTTATCAACGTTTAAACGTAGCTTTGACTCGTGCAAAGCGATGCCTCTTATTATGTGGAAACTTTTCTGATTTGGAGGTAAGAAATAAGTATTTCTGAAATAATATATTATTTATTTATAAAAATTTATTTAAAACAGTCGGTACCGGTATGGAAATGTTTATTGGATAATGCACGAGAACGTAAGGTTTATTTCGAACTAAACGCATTTTCTGCGGAAAATATTGAAACTAATGTAATTGACAAAATTAGAATTTCTGAGCCAAAAAAAAATGACAATATAAAAAAAAATAGTTAAAATTAATTTATTTTTCATAAGTAAATGTTTGTATTTACAATAGACAAAAATTGAGTTTACATCATTTACATCAATAATAAGAAACGGTATATCGTTGTTTCTTCATTCTATTACAAAGATACTCTTAATTCGAACCATTCAATGTATTAATCTATTTACAAAACATTTTTCATCTTAACATATTTTTTTTTATTAAGTCGTTTTTGTGTGTATGTATTAGTAGTGCTAATTACTACGTATAAATTAAATTTATAACTTTATTTCAGTTCTTATTTATCCTAAGGTATAACAATTTGCATATTCTTTATATAGCTTTATTAATTTAAAAATGTATTTTCTAAGAAGCATGTTTAACATATATTTAATTCATTTTTTTTAAATCATTGTTGGAAAAAATAATATTTTTTATATATTAATGTTAATGAGCTCTATAAGCATTAGCAATGAATAGTGTTATTGATCAATACTGTTCACTTATATCAGATAATTAGCTGACATAGAGTGCTTTCAATAATACTTCATATCCATTTAAAACATTTTAAATATTGAAACTATTATTAATTTATAAATAAATAAAGTTGCTTCTAAGAACTTTTAAACTTTCACAAATTTATGAGATTATGTGATGTGTTTAAATATTTATCACAGTTTTATACACTGTTTAATTTTATATAATAATAGTATATATCTTTATATCAATTTATATTCTTGTATAATAATGCAGAATAAATAAATCTGTGATATATTTTGTATTAATATAGTTGAGTAATATATAAGTATATATAATAATTACATAAAGAATTTTGATTATTTTTCTTTTAATATTTTTCAATGAAAATATTGTTAATATGTTATGATTATTTAAAGCTATTATAATGAATAAATTGTGAAAACGAAATTTAATCAATTATAATGCAGAGAATATTAATTAACGTTTGAAATATTATATTAAATGAATAAAAAATTAAATATGTAATATAAAAAATGCTCGTTTGTACTTTTATAAAACAATATGTTTTTTTATATAATAATTTGACACTAGATATAAGATATTAATTACTGTACAGACTATATATTTATATTAAACATAATAATCATTATATCATTATAAATTTTGAACGAATTATATGAATAAAAATAATTATGAGAATAAGTTCATCAATTCTTTTAGTAAAAATAAAAGTATTTTATTTTATAATATATCATATAAGTTGCCTTATATCCTTCAACGATAAAAAAAAATATATATTATATATATAATATAATAATATAATATTCTTGTATTTATTATTATGTTGAGGCTAGTTGAGTCAGTACACTTGAGCACTTTTACTCTCTATTAACTGCGAGGTTTCTTCATAGCCCCTCTCTACGCCTTGACTGATTATTGTTTATGACTTCATCAGACTAGGCATTAATTAATCTTAGGTGCAGATCTACCTCCACGAGAGGCCTGTAACCATTCTGAGATTCGATAACGCGGTATTGGTAAGTATGTCAGTTTTCGTAAATTTTAAGGTCCCTGAGAATGTCATTTGTCCTAATCTACCATGGTACCTTGAATATTCTCCAAATACTCTAATATATACTTTTGATTTCAAATTATATTTTGATTTGGATTTTTAATTTATTAAAAAATTTTAAAATATTAATAAGCAACTAATTAACAAACTTTTTATTTCGCCTGTAAAAACTGAAAAGTATTCCAATATTAATATTAAACCACCACTAAACATAAAATACAATAAACTTAATTCCAATTAAAAATAAATTTATTATTTTAATTGCCAAATATTTTCAATAATAATTTTGTTAATAAAAGGGGTAACTCGTCAATTTTTTTAAAAAATTTTTATTTGAATATATTAATATTTTCATATACATTATATCTATATTTATTTTTTTAATTTATTATTTTATTTTATATTTTATTATTTTTATTTATTTTATAGTTTGATATATTTATTTATTATTAATTTATTATTTTAAGTTTATATATATTTATTTTAATACTTATTTTGATTTTTATGTTTAATATAAATATATATATAGACAAATTTATAGTGTTTATGTTTTTTAAATATATAATTGTAACAGGTTTATTGAGTTTCCAGTCTCTTATGTAAATAATAAAATTTCGGTTAAATATTTAAATATTTTTAAATAAATGAAGTATAATTTTAAACTAATGTTCTATTTAAATACAATCAAATGAATACTAATCGGACGAATTCATCTAGGACGGAAGGATCCAGTGAACATTTCTGTTCACTTGACTTTCTGTATGGCATACAAGAATATAATGTTTAAACAGTACACAACAAACAGTAAACAACAAATTATAGAAATACTTATATGTACATATAATTACTTATTAATTTATAATAGTGATGATCAAAGTGTCGGAGGGAGCGGAAGGTATGTATACACACAAAGTTTGTAAATAAAACAATACCTATACCTTACACAATACCCTACAAAACCTATATGTATGTTTAACACCAGAATACTTTAATATTTAGATTTTATTAATATTAATTTATGGAGAGAGTTTAGAATAGAAACTATAAAATATATTAAAAAATATTAAACAAAAGTTTAATTTTAACAAAAAGGTGATCTGTAGCCGGATATAAGTAGCAAAAAAATACTCGTAAATTACGACAGAAAAAATGTGAAGCAACAACAATGCTCTTAAAATTTTCGGTTAGGTTTTACTTGCAAAAAATCTTAGGTCTTAAGTTTTAGTGCAGCCAAATTCAAAAATCAGTCTATTGTGAATATTCACTGGACATATGTGGCAAATTTCAGTCATTCGTTAAAATCATATGAGTATTTCATTAACTAATGAATTCAAATGCATGAATAAATAAATTAACTTAAATATATAATATAAAAATGGCTATAATTGCTCTTCTAATATTTATATTGTTTACTTTTATTAAAATTAATTAATTTTTAGTGTATAATGTTTATTCTTGATTCTTCTTCTTCTTGAGTTAGTGCTATTACGCACTTTTACTCTATAATGGCTGGGGGGCTTATCTCTACCCCACACTAGGCTTTAACTAGGCTAAAAAAAAAATTATATCATTTATTTATCTTTTAGTTGATGACGGACCTTAAATCAGCATATCTTTCTGAGAGTCCAGAAGTGGACTTGAGGGTTGTTAGGGCGGGGTTAATTAGCGTATCAACTTTAGTGAATAATTTTAGAGCTCTGTCTCTGATATATTTTTTCACTGAGTCAATCCTATGATCTCTATGTATGTCTGTTGATCTGATATACCATGAAATCTTAAACAGTTTTCTTAAAGCCAGGTTTTGAGCTATCTGTAATTGCTTTAAGGAAGTATTTGAGGCTTTGCTATATGTAACACATCCGTACAGTAGTGCAGGTCTAATTACTTGCGTATAAAGTAACTTTCTGTTTTTAAAGTTGAAGTGATAATTATTAAATAGCGGCATTTATAATAATGTATAATGTTTATATTTCATATTTTACACAACACAACAAAAAACATATGTCAAAAACAAGCATTTGAAAAATTTTGTCAATTTGTGTCAAACAGACTTAATGCTATTTTTTTACAACTCTGAAAGAAAAAATTATAGTTAGTACAAAATTTTATGGAATATTTTATGGTTTTTGTTTAATTTTTACAGTGTATTGCAGTAAATTTGATTGCATTATCTGCGCAGAATTATTTTCTTTGTGTGTGTCTTATGTGTATAATATTTTTCAGTCTCAATTTTACATTGACTGCAATCACGTCGCTTTGCAACGCAAGATTTTATAATAAGAATTTTTAAAATAAGATATTAATTTGAATTGAGTATATAATAATAAATACAAAAATGTCGAAAGTGCCATTTGTTTTAAGCTTTGATTCGCCTACTTACTACAATCACGACATTTTTCCCAATAACATGTATCGCCGTCTGCATGAACGAGTACATCATCCTTTGGATATGTACACTTTGGGCTTAATGGCACGCCTTGGTGTACATCAGCATCATAAAAAGAATAATGGGGATTTAGCAACTATTCACGTAAATGAGAATAAAAAAGATTTCGAAATCCATTTGGACGTTGGACTTTTTCAACCAGAAGACTTATCAGTTAAATTAGTTAATGATTTTATTGTTGTCGAAGGAAATCATGAAGAAAAAGAAGATGAGCATGGTCACGTAAGCAGACATTTCGTACGACGTTATGCGCTTCCAAAGGATTGTGATGCTGATAAAATTGTGTCGACTATGTCAGTCGATGGTGTATTAACTGTGCGTGTACCAAAACTACAGGACACTACAACTACTGAACGTATTATACAAATACAACAAACTGGTCCATCAGATCTATTCATAAAAAATAATGGTGAAAAGGAAAATTAAATTAAATCTAATTTATATAAGCATGCATTTAATATTCATTAATTAATTTAGATGATACGCATATATATATATATATATATATATAATTTCAAATTTATATATCTATTGACTGATACTATACATTTTTTAAAAATTAATCCAATGCATTTAATATTATATGAACTGAAGTAAAACTCTAAATTTTTAAAAATACTTTTATTCGCTTATAAAATTTTTAAATATATAATAAAGATATCATAAAATATTCATTGTATGAACTTTGTGTTTTTATTACAAATTTTACGTTTCCTCCTGTAAAGGACTACCGCGACCTGTATTTATAAGGTCAGGACGTAATTGTCAACTTAGTTTTATTTGAATGTCATAGTCCGACGGTTACATTCAATAGCATATACCTGGCTAAGCACCATCGTTTTTTTAATAACTGTTGAAGAAGACAACTTGATGTGGACGTGTACCACATCAAATGTTCAATTCTTTATTTTGTATAATTTCGTTTCTTAAATACCAGGGACAGAAAATAACAGTTTTTTCAAAAGTTTTTAAGAAAATAAGCAGCAACAAAAAATTATCTAAACTCATATTTAAGTATATAGTTATCATTCTAACAACTTTAATCCTTAATATTATGCATGCTTTTTATATATGAACGTTTTAAAATAAAACTCAAAAAATAATAATTAAATTTGCTTTATATTATACTCATCAAAAATAACTTCTACATTCTGCTTTTTATTTTAAAACGCACAAATAACTATAACGTCTGTTTCACATGCTACTCATAGTAAAACACAAGTAAAGTACAAACTGAGAGCATAACACAAATAAAGTGTCAATTTACGCTCTTTACACAAATTTTCATGGAACAACTTTGTGTAAAATCTGGTGAGAACACCAGTCCCGCGCAAATAAACAATACAAAAATTTAAATTCGAACTAAAACAACTGATTCACACATTATCCAGTAAAGTCTGTGTAACATTTTCAAATTTCGACAGGGATGTTACACAATTTCAGAAGCTGTCATTTTCTTACCAGACTTTACATAAAGCTGTTATATGAAAATCTATGTAAAGAGCGTAATTTGGCACGCTCTCAATTTGTACTTCACTTGTGTTTTACTTAAGTTTAAGGGCAGCTCGTGGAACAGACCTATTATTATGCCGTGAGAACAACTGCTTAAAAGTAATCGTTACCAAATACTCTAAAGAGTAACAAATGCAATCAAAACTCTGTATTCGTTACTCCGGTATTATATGGATTTACAAATATGGATATATTTAATTTAATATAATTAAACAAGTTTTATAAGTAAAATACTTTATAATATGAATTTAAAGTCATTTAATAATAATTTTAAATTCATGCTAAATAGAAATTTTATTTGTTTACTAATGCTTCATAAATTCCTTGTCATTGTGATTCTTTTGGCATCGATGCTACTATAAGCTGCTGGATTATTTAATTTTCATGTGCATATTGAAGACGCATAAAAGGTATTTTTCGATTTTACTTCAATTTTACTCAAAGAAATTCTTCAAGTAAAATTCAAGTAAATTCTGTTGAGTACAAAATCACAAGGAAAATTGCCTTAATTTCATTGAAACGAAGGCTCAAATTAAGAGACATTTCAAATACAACTATGCGTAAGATAAATTTTCAGCAAAAAATAAGTTGAGATAACGAAAAAATGACCTTTTTTTCTTAAATGTCAGTGACTGTTGACTTTAATAAAATCGGGAAATTTTTAAATTTAAATATAGAGAAAAAACTGTAACTGTAATTATTTTAATATAGACTAAAAAATGATAATTCACATATCTCAAATTCGCTAAAGCTAATAAAAATACTAAATGCCATCCTTTATAGTTATAATAATCAACAATCCCAGATACAAATTGTGTTTCGAGCATGCAATTTTTAACATTTGATTCGTAAACAAAAAACAAACAATTTTCTTAATTTGGAGCAGTATGAACACTTTCCAATTTAACTTCATTTCATTTTGACGAAATTAAGGAAATTCTGCTATCTAAACATAGTATAAAGAAATAAAAAATAAAGTAATAATGAAGAAATATAGATAAATCCGATATTATTGAAACTGCAACGATTATTTTATACTTATGTATGTTGAAAATAATGATAACAGAGAGTGTTATCTAATACCAAACAAAATTAAACAAACTCAGCTATCAAGCATTACGTGTAATACCCACTTAGGAAGTTTTTTGACATTAATTTTTTGAGCTTAGCAAACAGCAAAATAAAAGAATAAACAAAAGGCAGTTTCAAAAAAATTTTTGAGGTTAACTAAATATAAGAAATATTTTCAAAAAGACTACTGATGATGGCTACTCTACAAAACTTAAAATAGCTGTATGGTCAGCCAAAAATTCATTTAATTAAATATAATAACATTTTGCTATATTTCACTAATCTTCAAAAATCTGTTTTGAATTTTTTTTTCGATCGGAATGATGTGATAGTATAAAGTCATGTAAAAATGCAGAACATTAATATCTGATATATTCAGAGTCAATTTTTATCTTATAATAATCGATTTTATCAATATCAGTCGTACAATCATGTTGCCGCAAAATAAAAAATTATTATTTCAATAAATATTTTTAGCACTTTATTCGCACACGAATGTATCTAAAGTTCATTTTATTGTTAATTTAAAAATAATTATTTTTTCGAACAAGCTGGCACCTCTACAAGATAAATGTAAATAGTTTTGACAGCGCGGCTTGTGAAATCTCAGTTCAGATTACGTTATTTACATTGAGTCGGGTGCGTAGTTAAGAGTGCATCAAAATATTAAATGAAAATAAAGAATAACAAATATATAACAAATAAATAACAAATATTTTTGTGGTTTTAAAATAACAGCAATGGATAAACGGTATTCGTCTTGGTTATTGGAAAACATTATTTTGGGTGAAGTTATTCGCCTGCACATAGGAGTAAATATGATTGGAAGAAACAACAGCTCACATATTCGTGTTAATTCAAATTTTGCATCCAGGAATCATGCCGAAATTATAGTTAGCGAGGATGAAAAAACTATAATTATAAGAGACCTAGTAAGTTAACTAAATTCTTTCCATTTTCTTTTCCTGCGGCATATTTATTGTGATATAGCATTTGGCAGTATTTATGTGTGATAGTGAAGGATATGTTGAAAACATACTCATCCAGTTGTTCAAATCAAATCGTATCGTCTATGAAATTTTTACATAAAAAATGAATTTAATTATTGCTGTTTCAGCAAACCCGATTAACGTTAACAAACGAAGTAGTCATAATTCAATAAAAGAATTTTTGAACCTTGAATAACAGTATTATTTATGCAATAGCAGCAAATTCATGTATGATAAATTGTAAGTTATTCGACACTCTTCTGTTGTAATATTTTCGAGTTTCCATGTAATATAGTATGAATTATTGCCTGCTCTATATTTGGTCTGTTGAAGTGTAAAAACCTAAATACCTAATACTTTTGAACGTTAAGTTTCTAGTCTTAAATTTTACATATTTTTAAAATATTTTACACATGTTTTTTTCTATTTTGCCTATATTACTACTCAATATCAATGTTACTGCTACACTAGTATTTACAAATAAAGTGATTTTCTGACATACATACAACATATGTAAACTAATGACCTTCGTCTTAACGCATGTAAAATTATATAGATATAGTATGTATCAGAAAAATAAAATTTACAGGAATTTATGTTAAAAAAGTTGCCCTATTGTTGGGCAAGCTAGTATTGTTCATATTTGATTTTGCGAAGTATCTGAAGAACCCGATGAAACAAAGTCTCTGAAGTTGAAAATAAAATCGAATTTTTTGTGAATCTGGATACTATCAAATTTTTACATATATATTTTATATTATATTTTAAATTTTAATTAATATAAAAAAAAAAAAAGTAAAGTAAAGTTTTTATTTATCCAAAGTTTTTAATATCCGAATAATACTCGTATAATCAATGCATCACGTATATACTTCACTATAATAACTAATTTTACTGTAAAATTTATAACTATAAAAATAAAGTGTAGTAGACGACTTGTAATAAAATAAATAACGCATAAATTACGTTTCCTACCAGGTTATTTCCATGTCTATTTCTAAAAGATGCAATTCCAAGGGAATCATTACAGAATTGTTGTCTATTTATATTTTCTCACATTTATTTATTTATTTATTTGATTATTTATATTTTATCACTTATACTTATATATAGTTTTAATTGTGTAATTTTTATCTGTATATTTATTTCATTTATATTTGATCATATTTAATTATATATGGTTATAATTGTGCAATTTTATCTATTTATTCATGATATATGTATGTGTATTTATGGTCGTATAATTTTACTATCATGTAATAGTATTTAGGACGTGTGCGAGTTAGGCTAAGTTGATGCTAAACCAAATGGGAGATTTTTTAGGATTTTTTGCACTGCACACATTTTGCCATTTATCAACACGTATCGACACATCAATACATTATCGACACAACTTAGAATTTCCCTCATTTAGAACGCAACTTAGCCTAATTCGCACACGACCTTAGTTATATTTTTGTTATCATCTAATTATTATATATTTACATAGTTTATTTATATTACTAGATTTATTCATCTATTTATATAGATCATTATTATGTTTTCATTCTTTATTATTACCATTTAGTTAGTATTTGAATGTGATTTTTTTTCATGTAATTATTAATTAGTCACAATTTTTATTATTATTTAAATGTATTAAATATATATCTATTGCTCATGTAATTCAACAAAGTCTTTTATATATCATGTATTATATACTTATTAGTTTTGCGGATGTGGATAAAGTACGTCTTTAGATAGATAATAGTCTATAGGGCTAAGTATATATTTTTTTGTTTTCGCGTATAGCCGGTGACAAGCCTTCACCGTGTGCGTGTGAAGGGTATTGGCATTATGCAATACACCGTGGGCATGTAAGTGGATATAAAACCATGAAACTGACGAAGCTTCAGTTAGTAGATAATTGGAGATTTGGACACATGAATAACGTGATATAATGCAGTACAATGCAATACGTTGTGTGAACTATAACACTGCAACAATTAACGAGCAAAATGATACGATTTTATACGTTTCGCACTTGTTGCTAGCAAGGGAATACTCAAGTAATGCAATGAATAGCGTTGTTATGACGTTAATGTGAGCCATTCACTGCACATCTCCGATGTGTACTTACCTATAATATATCTCCGAGTAATCAGCGAGTAAAAGAATCAGGAGAAGTAGTAAAGTATCAGATGTAAACTATTATTTAATGTAATTATCAAATGTGATAATTTAGCATACGTATTACATAGATTTTATTATGTTTAGATTATATTTAGCGTATATCTTTATCCTCTCGCCTGAGAACGCCAGTAGTAAATACGAATCATGATTATCCGACATATTACATCACTCAGTAAGTCGTGTGACGGACACACAAATAGCGCTGCCATTGCAATCCATATGATATTTATGAACTACAAACCTTCAAAAGACTATGTGTAAAATTTGATGACATTTCGATTAGTCAGAAAAAACTGATAACCATTTAAGTAAAGCTACTTTTGTTATTTTCAAAACAATGGACTCAAAACAATTTAGTGTGTTAATTTATCATTGCTTCTTGATGAAAAAAAAAAATTGTATAAGCTCAGCAATGGCTTCAAAAGTGTTATCCGGACTCTGCTCCATCGAGAAAAACCATTTGTTATTGGTTTGCTGAATTTAAACGTGGTCGTACAGACACCGATGACAATGAATGTTCTGGTCGTCCAATTGAGGTGGTTACTCCAGAAAACATCGAAAAAGTCCAGAAATTGGTTATATCTGATCGTAAATTGAAATTGCGTGAGATAGCTGAGACCGTAGAGATATCAGAAGGCAGTGTCTTTATAATTATGCATGAATATTTGAATATGTGAAAGCTCTTTTCAAAGTGGGTGCTGTTTTTTCTCACAGTCGATCAAAAACAACAACGTGTTGATGATTTAGAGCTGTGTTTGGCCATGTTTACACGTAATTAATCAGAATTTTTGCGTCGATATGTGACAATGGATAAAACATGAATCCATCACTTCACTTCGGAATCAAAACGATTACAAGTCACAAACCAATAAAAACGATGGCAAAATTGCACGAATTACACTTCGAATTGCGTCCTCATCCACCGATTAGTCTGGCTCCCAGCGACTATTGGCTCTTCGCTGATCTCAAAAAAATGCATGCCGATAAGAAATTCATCTCAAAAGAAGAAGTAATTGCTGAAACTGAAACCTATTTTGAGGTAAAAGACAAATCCTTCTACAAGCACGTCATCGAGAAGTTAGAGAAGCATTGGAATGATTGTATTGGTCTTGAAGGAGATCTTGAAGGATTTAATTTAATTTAAAGTTTATTTAAATTTAATTGAAGCTAAAAAATTTTTGATATACACTAGGATTAGATACCCTATTATTAAAAATGGGAAATTTAAATTTTAAAAATATATAATTATTATTTGATGCCCATTTATAATATATTATAAATATTAATATACTATATTTGTACTATATAAAATTTTTTAAATATTACAATAAGTTTTTATAATATCATGCTTTGCAGAACTCTAGTAATGGTGTCTATGTAAATCATAATTCAACAACCCGCGCAATATTGAAGAAAGGAGATTTAATTGGAGTGGGTGTTAGGATCAACTACAATATTGCCACTATAGAGCACCCTTTATTTGTGCTTAAGACAGCACCAATGAAATGTTACGTAGAAATGCAAGAAAATGTTGAACCTAAAAGTATATCATTAGAAAAAGCAAATAATTTAGACTCTTCATCAGTTTCAAAAAGTGAAACTGCTATCAATTTTAATATATTAAATATTCAACGTAATAACTCATCAAATGTTGTAACACCAATAACCACTGATGTTAACATAAATGCTACAACGCTTAATTCCTCAAATATTACACCGAAACCTGCTGATACAATGAATTGTATGGAAAAATCACCATCGTCCAATTTAAATATACTGAATGACGATCTTATCCTAATAAGCGAAGATGAAGAGCCCAATATTGCAGTCGTCAAAAATGATATTGCTTCTCCTAAAACCAATGGTAATACATTGTTAGCAGGACAGTGTATTGTTTTGCTTACTGAAGAGTCTTCATCAGAAGAAACAATGGATAAAGAAATTAAAAATGAAAAACTTGATGATAACAAATTTCAACTAGCGTCAATTGTCCCACAAAACAATATATCTGATAATAATGAATGTGGCAATAATAAAATTGCTCAACAAAATAATATGTCCGATAATAATGAATATGCTGAAAAAGAAGAAGAAGAGTTCATTTTAACTCAAAAAGCTATAGATGATATAAAAGCTGAATTCCTAACAGACGATTATAATAGTTTTGAAAATGATATAAATACAATTCCAGAAACGTTGGATAATTCTTTAGGATATGAAAATTTCGATAGTGTGATAATTGATGACGACTATGATGCAGATCTTGAAGAAAAAGTTGAAATTTGGTCAAATAAATTATTATCTCAGAATGTTATGGAGCAAAGTCAAATATTTGAAGAAGATAACTGTGAAGAGCCAATAAGTACTGAAATAGAATGTGAATTTAAAAATACAACTCACCAAACACTTATTGATGAGATACTGTTTCCATTAAGGCAAAAGCTTGAGTCGCATAAAAAGAAAAAAGTTTTAAAAAAAAAAAAAAAATCGGGATATATATCCATTTCTTCTGATGATGAAAGTATAAAATCAAAAAAAAGAAAACAATCACTTAGTAAACGTACTAAAAGAAAGCGGGTTGTTGAAGACAAAGGAAAAATTGCAACTGAAACAAAAGAAGCAACTGAAAAACGTGCTAGACTAAATAGTACTGACGAAGATATTACACAAGTTTCAAATGAAACAAGAAAAACACAACAAAATCATACTACTGAAAATAATATTACGGATGATCAAGTATCTCTTTCAAATGATAACGAACAGATTAAACCTAATAAAATAGAAGAAACACCTCAAAATCACACTAGAAGAAATACTATTACTGACGATAAAATATATAATAGTTCAAAAGATAATAAATTAGAAGAAATTGTAAAGAAAGTAGCTAAGAAAAATAATTCGTTTCTTGAAGTTATAAACCCTCCACATTTACCAATTCATAAGGGGAAGCTTAGAGGCATCTCGGCGGCTACAGCTTCAACAACAGATTTTGGACAAATGTTAAAAAGTTGTGAAATAGATAATTTAACAAAAAAGAATAACGTAGAAAAGCGCAAAGCAATGCTCAAGGATATAGCAGAAAAATCAAAAGAAAAAAAAGAAAAATGCGAATCGGAGGACCAAAAGAAAAAAGAAGTAATGAAAGTGAAAAATACAAAAGTGAACCGTGGGGCGTTTCTTACAAATGATGTGCCCAAAACAATTTGTCGTAAAAAATCAGATGATAATTCAAAACTGGAGACATCAACGAATACGGCGTTAGCACAGTTAAAAAGACGGAATTCAATATGCGGATCATTAGCAGAAAGAAAAGAGAAGGTAGAAGCACGAGAAAAACGAACAACAAACAAAATAACATTTGCTTCAATGCAAAAGAACATAGTAGAATCTTTTGAAAATCAAAGAAGATTAGAACAAGTTTCTACTTTGCGTTCATGCTTGTTTAAAACTGTTCAAAAAACTGTTCGAAGAGTTCGTTTCGCAGAAGAGAGAAATGAAATATATTATATCGAACCTCGCATTGGAGCTACAAAAAAAGTAGATAAAAAAGATGCTGAACTGCAACCCTCATATAATGCCAGGAGAGATTACATGCGCCGACAATTTCCAAAAGTTCAAAAAATAGAAACTGCAATTATCCATATATTAAATTGGGGCAATTTATGGCTGAAAAATCGTGATGCCGATGCTTACGCAGCATCAGAAACAATACTTCCAATGCCAGATAGTTTCAAAAACTTTGATCATTATAAAAGGTAACTAACTGTAAATACGAATGAGAAAATGCATTGTATATTTATTTATATCATAAAAATCAAAACTAATTAAGCGGCAATTTATTTTTTAGTATAATTCTGCCATTGATGAAAATCGAATTTATGAGTGCCATTGAACGAAGTTATAAGGACAACAAATTCAAACCGTTTAGGGTTAAAAAGGAGCGTATATCAACACATTCCAATCGCATAATAATCATAACAAAATGTATGTAAAGTACTGTTTCAAATATTATTCAAAAAGCAAAGAAGAGACAAGGAAAAAAATTTATTTTTTAATTTATTGAAAATTGGCTGACCATACAACGCTGTTACGGGTATTGCCAAGTGCTCATCATCTGTAGTCTTTTGTCATAAAGATGCATCACTCTCGGCAAGAAAAAATTAACATTAAAAGTTAGAATTTTATATTTATATAAAATATAATGAAAATAATATGAAGCGCAAAGTAAAGTAGAACGTATCTCTTCAAGCAGCTCAAAGATTTGAAGTGTTTGCTCCAAAGATTGCAATTAGAGTATAATCGAACCGCTCGTACATTTTAATGCTCGAACTCTTTCAAACACTAATGTACAATATTATTTTAACATTGAAATTTATGAAACTTTTTATAAACTTTATATTTTTAGATGAATTTAAAACCGAAAACGAATATAATAATTGTAAATGTGATTTAGTGCTATTGAACTTTGGAAGATCGTTTCCAATATCATTTGCATATACTTCTTCCAATCGAAAAGGAACAGGTATGTAACATGTAAATACTTTTTACAATAGTGAAATTATTTAAAAATTAATAGATACTTATAATATCATCCTAATCATGATAATAAAGCATAATATTAATGCAACAGTTGTGCGCTGTTGTGATAACCCGTGGAGATCTATATTGCATATAACACGAAAAAAATTATAAATCCATATGTAAGGGTTAGAATATTGTTAGGCAAAGGAGGTGTGAAATGGGAGGGTATTGTTTGGGAACAGTTGTTCATGGTACTACGTACGAATCTATCATCAAATTGATGATTGTGATTGATAATAAAGACTCCCTGAGCATGGCGAATATATTAATGAAATCTATCAAATGGAATTCAATATATAAACGAATAGCGACTCAAGAGAAAAAAAAATTTAATTTACTTGTTTGTTTTAGATACACATAAATATTTTTATTTAATCTGGTTAAAAGTCCTATAGTTAAAATTCCATATTTGTTCTATACAATATAAACTAAAGCTATAAATGTTTTATATATTATATGATTAAAGAAAATTGTAGAGCACTTTTCAAGATATAAGCAAATAACACTTTTGGCGTTAACTTTAAATTAAGGAGACCATTTTTAAATATATATATTTAAATATGTAATCTTGTGGACTAAAAGTTAAGTGAAAGTTAACGACAAAAGCGTTAACGCTATGTATATGATTAATATAGTTAGTTCAGTAAATTTGTGAATAAAACTTCTAGAAATATTTTTCTAGAATATGTTACATTAAGAGAATACAGATACATCTTGATAGCTATTAAATTCAATAAAAATCAGTTATATGAATTCAAGTTACTTACATTTTACTTTTACTCTTAAAAGAAAATGATCTTGATATCCTCAAAGAGTAATTTTTAAAAGCTCAAAATTTAGCAGTCTCATTTTACACGGAGATTATTATAAGCCGCGATTTTTATTTAATTTTAAAAATTTTACATTTTTACATTTCTAATAAATTAAAATTTTTACAAAAATGAAAAATAAATCAAATTAATTTGTTTGTTTTTTGTAGATTCTTGTAATTTGATTTACGAAATTATAGGAGATTTTTACTTGAGAGATCAATTAATAAATATAGTTGATATTGAAGTATCTCCACTATATGATAATGTACGTGTTGAAATAGGTACAATAGATGCAATTTATCAAATAGAGAATACTCCGTTATGTAAAAAAATGTTAAATCCATTGGAATTGATTGAAAGAAAACAGCAAAGTATTAAAGCATTTAATTATAAAGGCTGCAATCAGTTGGATAAGTATCAAAATCAAGCGCTATTTAATATATATGCGAAAATAATAAAAAATGAACGAAATATTTCACTTATACAAGGACCACCAGGTACTGGTAAAACACGCATTATAACTAATTTAGCATTACAGTGCTTGTATGGAGAAGAAGTGCGTTTGTTAGATAAAAAAATATTGATTTGCGCTCAGAATAATATTGCAATAGATGTGTTGGCATCAAAATTGATTGAAATTAGAAATCGTATGAGAACTCAATCGGCATTTAAGTTGATACGATATGGTGTCTTAGAAAGAATTGATCCAGGTGTACAAAGCTATTCTGTTCAAAAAAAGATTCAAGAAGAAAAAGCGAAAAGAAGACAATTGCTATCAGAAAATAAATCTCTACATACAGATGCGGATATACGTTATGAGGTTTTTATATTTATTTGATTGTGACATTTACATTATTTATAACAAATTAAATATTTTCAGATATTGAAATTAGAGAAAGAGATTGATCAACTAAGTGCTGATTATGAAAAAAGTATAGTCGATGATCACAAATTATATCAAAAACGGAAAATACTGTCAATCTTAAAAAATAGTGAAATGACACAAGATGAAGAATTTAGACTTGCCAAATCACTTCTCTGGGATGCCAATATTATTTGTGCGACACTATCCAGTTGCGTTAAATTATCACAGTAAGTATATATAAAGTAGGGACAACAATACAAAAAAAAAGACACTCGGGATCATTTGCAACAAATTTTGGTAAATGTCAATATACTGAGCAACTTTTCGCATTCCATTATATGTGGATATAGCTTAATTTTAGAAATACCCATAAAAATCTTGCGAGTGCCTTTAGCAAATTGTTTTGGCTCGTCAATCAACTGCACTCGAGGATTTTTGGGAACCTGAATGGCAAGGATCCTGAATTCACCGATAAGTATGGACAAAATTAATGTGATCTGATTAGTTCAGGAACTAAGGAATGTAGCCGAAGATTTTATTGGAATTAGGTGATAGGCACATCGTATTTAGCTGCAGATTTAATTGAACAGAGCAACAGAAAGAATTCTAATAAAGACATAAAGCAAACTGATTTAAAGATGCACTATTTAATCATGTTGCTTACTTTAAACAAAACTTTACAAGGAAGTTTTTCTTAAATTCATAGTTGAATTTGATTGAATTACAATCAGTTTATGTAAAATAAAATTATACACAAATTAGACAGTGTGTTGTGCATATGCAGCACATTTGTGATGTGTTAAACACTGGTTGACAAATTAAAAAAATTGTAAGGCTTCTCTGTAGAAAATGAATCGATTAGATCTTTGGTCACATGCTCAAATGAATATATATATTTTTTAATAATAAGATAACTAAAAAAGTTATTCATTTTGCTAATATTAAATAAGAACTGTTTTAGCTTTTCTAAAAGTTTTAATTACTAAATGAATTTTTTTAACAGGTTAGTCGATTATTTTGATATTTGTATCATTGATGAGGCTACTCAGTGTGCGGAACCGCTATCCTTGTTACCATTTACGTTTGGAATTAGTAATTTAGTTTTAGTGGGTGACTCAAATCAGCTCCCTGCCACCATACTTTCAATGGTAATGCAAAATTTGTATTTAATAATATTATAATATATTTAAATATTTCATTTCTTAAAATAATATTATATATATACTATTAATCACATATAAACTGGTATATATTTTTAGAAAGCAAATAATCTAGGCTTAGGAACATCAATGTTTACTCGTGTGGAAAACTGTATTGAATCATCGAATGAGAAAGGCGACGTAATTTATATGTTACGCCAACAATATCGTATGCATCCAGAGATATGTTTGTTCCCAAATCAGTATTTTTACAAGAAAAAATTACTTAATGCTGATTCTACAAAGAGGCGTTCAACTTTCATTTCACCATATTGTGTGCTAAACTTAGATTATCAGCAAAATAAACATTGTTCATATGGACAAATAATAAACGACTCTGAAGCAAATTTTATAGCAAATCTCATTGCGGCTTTAAACGTATACTTTCCATCAGAAAAATACTCATATGGAGTTATAACGCCATATTCGGAACATCGGAATGCGTTGAATTCTGCTATTAAGTAAGTCAAATAATAAATAATTACGTACATATAGAAAGCCTGGTAAACTTGTATATGTTTTTGGATGTTGTTATTAAAAGAATTGTAATATATTGGAAATATAATGTTATATGCGTGATAAGTTTGATTTAATTTAAAGCATTATTTCCTTATTGCATATTACAAGTATTATACACAGTTTTTGGACCTACAATTTCGCATATAAGATTACTTTATTTAATTTAATTTTAATAATCTGAAATTTTTAATTGTGCATATAGAATTTACAGCATTGTCCTTAGATTATTTTTATTCTGTTTAACGGCTATATTGCGATTTTCGAACTAGTTCCGATTTATACCAGTTTTTGCTTAGTCCTAAAGGAAATTATTTTTATTACGAATGAAAAAAGATATGAGACTTTTCTCTCAGAAAAAATTTAAAATTCTGAAATAGTAGACATGATCTGAAATATGATCTGTGTTAATAACCCAAAATTTTTATTTTTTAGAATACTAACATAAAACATTTAGTTACCAATAGAACTTGACTCGATTCTAATATCCTAGGGACGTCAATGTTTGTTGTTTTTATCAGAATCCAATCCTTTAAAATCATTTGGTATATATGGTCCAAAATTATTAAAATTAAGTTTAAAACTAAATCATATAAAGCTAATTTACTTTTTTTACTTTTAAATAATAGATCTAATTGTTATTTTAATCGGTTAACTGAAGAAATGAAGAACATTGGAACATCATGACGAGATTCTACATTGAAATCAGAAGAAGTTATTGTTATTTTAAAGTTAATTTTGTCCACTGTTCTCTGTTGATTCATTACAGTGTTGATTAATTATATAATTTATATATAATTTTATTTTTAATCGTGTAATATGAAAGTTTTTTTTTTATTAAATTTTAACAATTTTCGCGTTAGTTCCATGTAATTATATCGACAATTTTTATTGGAATTTTGCTCCTAATGGTAAACGATGAAACGATAGTCTATCTTGTGATATTTATTAAATAGATATACAAATTTTCATTTAATTTTTGTTTTAATAGTATTAAATATCCTTTTGTTTATATTTCAGAAACAAAAAATTGCAAAATATAATGATAAACACAATTGATTCATATCAAGGCCATGAACGAGATTTTATCATTATATCGAATGCACGTACAGTTGGAATAGGATTCCTATCAAGTTATCAACGTTTAAACGTAGCTTTGACTCGTGCAAAGCGATGCCTCTTATTATGTGGAAACTTTTCTGATTTGGAGGTAAGAAATAAGTATTTCTGAAATAATATATTATTTATTTATAAAAATTTATTTAAAACAGTCGGTACCAGTATGGAAATGTTTATTGGATAATGCACGAGAACGTAAGGTTTATTTCGAATTAAACGCATTTTCTGCGGAAAATATTGAAACTAATGTAATTGACAAAATTAGAATTTCTGAACCAAAAAAAAAAATGACAATATAAAAAAAAATAGTTAAAATTAATTTATTTTTCATAAGTAAATGTTTGTATTTACAATAGACAAAAATTCAGTTTACATTATTTACATCAATAATAAGAAATGGTATATCGTTGTTTCTTCATTCTATTACAAAGATACTCTTAATTCGAACCATTCAATGTATTAATCTATTTACAAAACATTTTTCATCTTAACATATTTTTTTTTATTAAGTCGTTTTTGTGTGTATGTATTAGTAGTGCTAATTACTACGTATAAATTAAATTTATAACTTTATTTCAGTTCTTATTTATCCTAAGGTATAACAATTTGCATATTCTTTATATAGCTTTATTAATTTAAAAATGTATTTTCTAAGAAGCATGTTTAACATATATTTAATTCATTTTTTTTAAATCATTGTTGGAAAAAATAATATTTTTTATATATTAATGTTAATGAGCTCTATAAGCATTAGCAATGAATAGTGTTATTGATCAATACTGTTCACTTATATCAGATGATTAGCTGACATAGAGTGCTTTCAATAATACTTCATATCCATTTAAAACATTTTAAATATTGAAACTATTATTAATTTATAAATAAATAAAGTTGCTTCTAAGAACTTTTAAACTTTCACAAATTTATGAGATTATGTGATGCGTTTAAATATTTATCACAGTTTTATACACTGTTTAATTTTATATAATAATAGTATATATCTTTATATATCAATTTATATTCTTGTATAATAATGCAGAATAAATAAATCTGTGATATATTTTGTATTAATATAGTTGAGTAATATATAAGTATATATAATAATTACATAAAGAATCTTGATTATTTTTCTTTTAATATTTTTCAATGCAAATATTGTTAATATGTTATGATTATTTAAAGCTATTATAATGAATAAATTGTGAAAACGAAATTTAATCAATTATAATGCAGAGAATATTAATTAACGTTTGAAATATTATATTAAATGAATAAAAAATTAAATATGTAATATAAAAAATGCTCGTTTGTACTTTTATAAAACAATATGTTTTTTTATATAATAATTTGACACTAGATGTAAATATTAATTACTGTACAGACTATATATTTATATTAAACATTATAATCATTATATCATTATAAATTTTGAACGAATTATATGAATAAAAATAATTATGAGAATAAGTTCATCAACTCTTTTAGTAAAAATAAAAGTATTTTATTTGATAATATATCATATAAGTTGCCTTATATCCTTCAACAATAAAAAAAATATATATTATATATATAATATAATATTCTTGTATTTATTATTATGTTGAGGCTAGTGAGTCAGTACACTTGAGCACTTTTACTCTCTATTAACTGCGAGGTTTCTTCATAGCCCCTCTCTCCGCCTTGACTGATTATTGTTTATGACTTCATCAGACTAGGCATTAATTAATCTTAGATCTGCACACCTCCCCGAGAAGCCTGTAACCATTCTGAGATTCGGTAACGCGGTTGAGACAATAAAATATAAAATACATATATAGAGGAATGATATATTTATCATAAATTACATTGGAACAAATATCTTGCAAAGTTCAAATTTTAATATTTATATTAATATTTTCATATACATTATATCTATATTTATTTTTTTAATTTATTATTTTATTTTATATTTTATTATTTTTATTTATTTTATAGTTTGATATATTTATTTATTATTAATTTATTATTTTAAGTTTATATATATTTATTTTAATACTTATTTTGATTTTTATGTTTAATAAAAATATATATATTGACAAATTTATAGGATTTATGTTTTTTAAATAAATAATTGTAACAAGTTTATTGAGTTTCTAGTCTGATATGTAAACAATGTATGTAAATAATAAAATTTCAGTTAAATATTTAAATATTTTTAAATAAATGAAAAATAATTTTAAATTAATGTCTTATTTAAATACAATAAAAATAAATGCTAATATAAAATTTGTAGAAATTATTTTTGAAATTTAAATGTTTGTTTAATTAAATGATCAAACTTTTTTGTAATTTACTTAATTATTATAAAAATTTATCAAATTAAATTATAAAAACTTAGAATAGTACAAAGTACAACAAAAATTTTGTCTTTGTTTTAAATTGAATGTTTTGGTTCACCATAAAGGTATGTCATGTATTGCCAAATAATTAAAATAAGTGCTTAATGACATTTCTTTGGTTTATATAACTTGATTCATATAGCATTTATAAACCGCGATTGTCAGGTAGCGAGGTGAGTGGGTTTGTTTTCGTGTAAATTTTACTTGTGTTTTACTTGAGTTTTACTACGAGTAGCTCGTGGTACAGACCTATTGTAATGTATCCAAAAAATAACCCATGCTAAAAATAATTTGTAAAGATCGGCAAAAACCAAGGTCATAAAATGGATACAGGAGTTTTAATAAAAATTGTAAAATACTTAAAGTATAAATAACCAAATTTGATATTTATGTAAATAGCGCACAGATACATGTTCGAATTTAAACAATAGTAATAGTATTAATAATTATTATTATTAAAAGTAAGGATCGCGTACTGCGACCTAAAAGATCTATTGTGCCCCTTAGTCGGATTAAAGTGTTTCTCCAACTTTGACTTCTTTAATGAAAAACAGTATAGAGCCTATCTTTCCTAGTCTTGAATCGTTATGATCCATGAAATACACTCCTAGGTGCAGTGACGACGCGTACCCTAACTGGAAGCCCTTCTACAATGTTGTTTTTACATGAGCCGCTTAAATTGAAAATGATAAATTAAAACATATTAGATGTTTCATTAAAATAACTATATAACATTAAGCAACAATATATTCACAATATAATATTAACAATCCATCAACAAAATAACATATTAAACAAATCAAATTAATAATTTATATATAAGTTTAATATTATATCAATATGGAAGAAACAAAACTTTTTACATACTTTTCATAACATCAAACCAACTTTTTTCAAACATACATAAGAACCATACGAACCATACATATTTATGCAGTTATCATACAAAATCGAACACACTTGCAACGTTTGAACGTGCGGCCAACTTCTCCGCACACAAAGCGGCTATTATTTGTTGGAGCTACAGCTAAAAGGGGAGAGCACATTATTTCGTTCATTTTTCTGTTGTGTGGCCAACTTTTCCGCTCACAAAGGAGAAAAACGAAATATAATCGAAATGTTCTGCGCTTTGAGCTGTAAACTTATGTGCACAACTAACAACTACCCAGTAGGAACCGTCATGCTGCTATCTTCCCTTACATCCCAGTAGGGACCGTCATGCTGTTATCTTCCCTTACATCATACTTACTTTTCAGGTGGTCATCATGACGAGTTCCTTTCAGAATTCCCATGACTTTTATTAGCAGTTGACCGCCGAAATCATACATGACTTGGTAAAGTGCAAAAGGTGTGCGGAATGTAATGCGGAATTGACATTCGTAAAAATCGTTTACGAATCAAAATGCGAAAACGAAAACGGAATGAAAAATAATAACTAATAACGTAAATCAAAGCATAAATAAATAATAATAATTATTATTAAAATAATAAATCAACTGGAAACAGCAACTGAACTGCCTACTGGAATAGAAAAATAATAAATAAAGTATATAAAGTATAGTTTTTGAATTTAATTTTTAACTTACACTGGAATGCCGAATGGAAAACCGAACGAAAAACAATAATTAATATATTATTTTAACAAATTTAACAATAATTGAAAAAAATCACAATAGCAATGCGCATTGCGCAACGAAGAACTAGACGGCCCGCACTTATGGTAAATGCATACAAATACTGACCATGCTTGAATAATTTTAAAGAAACGAATACAACAACTTATGTTAGAGTGTGCACCGCACACCTCCGCACCTTAAAGCAGTCGTCACTGGCCTATATAATGTACTTATGCACTTATACAATTCATTATACATTATATCAGAGATTCATGAAGCATATTAAAATATTCATACAGTTTATTATTCTTAAACTTAGTGATCCCTACTAAAAATATAAAAATATCATAATGGTCCTTGATCAAAAATATGGGAGCCACTGGTCTACATTGAAGATACTACAACTGCAACAAATAAAGACAGAGAAGAAACATTTCAGATGCGAAATTATTGATCCAGTAACTGTCTCACTTATTAATTTAAGAATATGGTTACAATCGAATGATCGCATTGATATCAACATGCCAATTAAACATATATATATCTCCAGAACGATCTGGAATGTTTTTAATCGCCAATTAAAAACATTAGAATATGTGTTAGTATTTGTATAATGACTTAAACTATCACAAGTGCCGCGACATTGATTGTTGCGCTGTCTGACTGATTGTTTGAATCTGCTTTTTGATTCTATATAACAAAATGGATGCCAAAGCTAAATATGAAGTCATCTAAACTAAATTTAGAATATGATGACTTAAAAACAACGAATCATTAATTAAACAGCTATTAGTAGTAAATCGAGTCATACAGTGAGCACGAACCTACCTTTTAACAGGATTGCAGTTCTTTAAAGACTCCTCTGGGAGATATCCTTAACAATTTAGGCTCTAATTGAATAAGTTGAACCTAATTCTGTTACATGTACAATCTTATATCGCTACTAGAAATCATTATAATATATAAATCTGTAATATAATGTCTTTTTAGCTTTTCACCGTTTTTTAAGATTTGACTTTCTATTGTTTAGGTGGATATATAAAAATAGTGCTAAGCTGTATTAGACATTAAATATAAACAAGTTAAAAGAGAAACTGTTTTTTGTAGAAGCAGAATGTAGAAGAATAAGAAAATGGAATAAAAGTTACTAAAATAACTAAAATTAAACAATAAAACTGCAAAAACTTAATACTTATTAGTGTAAATTAGTATTTTAATAAAATACAATTATACGATATGTGAACAAGTAATGAGAATTTTCAATTTTTTTAATAGTATTTATACAATTTTCTATCCTTTTCAAAGTAGTTTACCTATGGCAATGAGCAGTTATAAAATCATATTTTAGAATTATACACCTATTTGTTATATCACTTATATCACTTATATACAAAAAACAGTTATTCGAAAATTAGAACTTTCTAATAAATTCTGGCATGCATAAATACGATAATTTTTGTTTTTTTTTTTTAAATATCTATACATACCTCTCTATAAGTATATATATAGTAATAAAAAGTAACGTTTAAATAATTGATAAAACACTTAAAATTTTAAAAATTTTAATTTAAGTGAACACTTAAAGCGTAGCGTTACTCAACCACTGCTGCCGACTCAAGCCCTATAATATTTTTCAATTGGTTATAAAGAGCGCACTTGTCGTACCAACGTTGCTAATTCATATAGCAACGTAACTATTATATACAGTGAGGTAACAACCATGTGTTGCCTGTTGTATAAGAATTTCCAATATAGTTTCATACATTTTTAAGAGGTTTTCCTACTCAAAACTTCATTTTTATTGTGCCCTAATTAATTCTTACTAAGCTTTCTAATTCATTATTTGATACTGGTCATATTTAGCACAGTTATATGTTGAACTTTCTTGTTCATTTATATAAAAATATTCTATCAGTTGACAAATGGGATTTACAAATTATGTTCCAGGTCTGAAGTGGTACCACAAAGTTTTATTTGAGATCTTTTCCATATACTGTTTTCACTTTAAAATGAATTGTCCACCCACTTATACTTAAGGCTGAATTAGTTATCATAGACGGGGCGAGCGTAGAAAGCGTAAACGACAGAATGTAGTAAAAGCGATAAGTTATGATACAACGCAAAATAACTTAAAAATATGAACAACATAAAAAATGCAATGCAATTCTTTTATATTTGTATCACGTCATATAAGATTTCTCTTATATTCACGTCAAAAAACCAATTAATTGATTCTTCCGTTTCCCATTACTTTTACTACGCCACTTAAAACTTATCGACATTGTTTTCCATAAGGTAGAAAAACCTAAAAATGTATGAAACTATATTGGAAATTCTTATACAACAGGCAACACACGGTTGTTACCTCACTGTATATAACAGTCACGTTCCTATTTGAATTAGCAACGTTGGTACGACAAGTGCGCTCTTCATAACAAATTGAAAAAAATTATAAGTTTTGGGTTGGCAGCAGTGGTTGAATAACGCTACGCTTTAAGTGTTCACTTAAATTAAAATTTTTAAAATTTAAGTGTTTTTTCAATAATTTAAACGTTACTTTTTATTACTATATATATACTTATAGAGAGGTATGTATAGATATGTCAAATAAAGAAATTATGCCTGATGCATGCCTGAATTTATTAGAAAGCTCTACTTTTCAAATAACTTTTTTTTTTTTATTATATTTATTATATTCTCGTTAGACTTTAAAAAATGACGACTGATACTAACAAAAATATTTTTGAATTTGAGACTAATAACGTATCAAGCCAAAATATTTTTACTGGTGGTAGATCCAAATGTCTAGTTAGACCATCACGGTTTAAAGATGTTGGAAGAATCTCAATTAATGGAAAAAAAATTGAAAGAAGTATATTCACATATAGTTATGCTTACAATTTGCGGAAGGATCAGTCAGTCCATAATAATGTTTTTAAATTCAGTGCTAAACCGGACTCGATTAAAGCAGAGATACTAAAGTCATTAACAGAAATCCCTAATAAATTATACAATGTAAAAATGTCAAACTATTTACGAAAACAAAAGGCCAATAATGAATATATGGAAATTCAAAAAATATTGGAACAAGTTTCTGGTCAGAATTCTAGTTTAACTGTTGAAGAAGTTTCGTTTGCAGAAGAAATAAATTTAACAACTATTGATGCAACTCTCAATGGTGCTGTTGTAAATATGAATACTAAATATGATGATACTCTAGTCCCATATGTTTCTAGAACAGAAAATATGCATCAGAAATTTCCAAGGCAGCAAGAAAATAATGCTGCAATTTCACACATTTTAAATTGGGGTGATTTATGGGTGCAAAACCAGAATTTTCAGACTTACAAACGATCAGAAAATTTAATTCCAATGCCAAATAATTTTTTAAATTTCGAACAATACAAGAGGTAACTATAAATATATTTAACAGTGTTACACCTAAATTTTTATAAATATATATATAAAAAATATTTTATAATAATTTATTAGCGGGCTAATTGGTTATTTAAATAGAAATAAAGAAACTTTAATTTATTGGTCAGCTTCCCTGAAGATGACTATCGGACAAATATTTTAAAAATATATAAATTGCTTTTAAATATAAATAATAAATTATAGTTTTTTATTTATATTTAAATGACCATTTAGCCCGCAAATAAATTATTATATATATTTGTAATCCTTTTTCACATAGAAAACTAATTATTTGTAAATTTGTTTCTCAGTATAATTATACAATTGATGAAAATGGAGTTTATGGATACCATTCAACAAAAGTTTAAGGCTGACGAGCACATAGTATTTTCGGTTGAAAAGGAGCGTATATCAATAGAATCGAATCGTCTAATAATCATTACTAAATGTATGTAAAGTTTTGTTTAATTCTTTTAGAAAATTACCTTATATAAGATTATATAATCTTAGATGAGTTCAAAACCGAACATGAATATAACAGATGTAAATATGATCTAGTATTATTAAGTTTTGGAAAAGGGTTCCCATACACGTTTGCTTATGCTTCTACCAATTGGAAAGGAACAGGTATATAAATATATAATGACTGTTACATTATTACAATATATCTACATTTTACTAATTTTAATTTATATTAATACATAAGAATAACGTTTGTATTTAATTAGATTATATTTTTTTGTTATACAAATAGCTAAGAGTTCTTATTGAATAATACGCATACAAACCCATGCTATTTCCTTAGATAGTTTTTAATGTGATCAATTACTGAACAATTGCGCAAGACTTGATGTGTTTTCTAGTAGACACGCATTTTGAGAATTAGATATCCCCATGACAAGAAATGCAGACACTACAGGATTAAGAGAACAAGAAATAACTAAACACCTTCAATGCAAATGGTCCGCCCTGGCAAGATTGAGATATTTTACGATAGAAGTTTTGAGCCTGGCGGACAACCAAAATAAAAGCTTTTTTGCTACTACAACTAATGACTAAGAATCACACATGGAAGTGGGTTTAATAACGGGTTAATATTCTCGGTTTTAAGAGACAGTTGTCTAGATTTTTTCGAATAGTATATTTATGAAAACTAAAAATTGAGCAGTTCCATTTTCAAAAAAGATTGTTATTTGGAGTAACATTTGAGTACCATTGAAAAAAAATATATACTTCATTCAGAAGCATAATGTTTCGAAAACTCGTGATAACTATTTAAATTTGAGATATTTAAATTTAACGCATTATTCAATTTTTAAGAAAGTGAATAATAATCAAATTCAATCAAATTAATAATAATCAAATCAAATCAAATTTTTTTCTTCATAGATTGTTGTACTTTGATTTTTGAAATTTTTGGTGGAAAGACTTTAAAGTCCCAGTTACTTAACGTAATTAGAATTCAAGTTTTACCAATTTCTGATCACATACGTGTAGAAATGGGTGCAATAAATGCAATATATCAGATGGAGAATAGTCCCTTTTTGGAAGAAATTTTGAATCCATTAAAATTAACGGAAAGAGAAGCCGAAAACTACAAAGTTTTTAATTATAAAGGCTACGAAAAGATTGATGAATATCAATGGCATGCACTATTTAGTATATATGCGAAAATCGTCAAAAATCGTCGTGGTATTTCACTTATACAAGGACCACCAGGTACTGGAAAAACACGCGTTATAACTAATTTAGTTTTACAGTGTTTATATGGAGAAGAAACACGTTCACTAAATAAAAAAATATTGATTTGCGCTCCGAGTAATAATGCTGTAGATTTGCTCGCATCAAGATTTATTAATATTCGAAATTGCATGGATATAAAATTAGCATTCAAGTTAATAAGATTTGGTGTCTTTGAAAGAATAGATTCATATGTGCAGGGGTATTCTATTTACAATTTCGTCGAAAAAGCAAAAGAAAAACATATAACAGAGATGACGCCAGAACAAGAATTTCAAGTTACCCAAGCATATATAAAGGATGCCAATATTGTTTTTTCGACTTTGGCCAGTTGCGTTAAATTATTTCAGTAAGTATAACTAAATTAAAACATAAATATTAATGGAAAATGAATTTTCGTTTGTTTATATTAAATAACTTTGCTCAAAATGCTCTTAAAAGGTAATTAAATACTTGATAGATATAAACACCAAAACAACACTAGATATTAGGGCTATGAGAAAAATTGTAAAAATCATTTGAGTGCCACCACATATGTCCAAAATTTAGATATTTTTTAACAAATAAAAAAAAACAACTGTTTAAACATATAGCCCACTAATTATATCGCACCATGCAATAAAAAAAACTCCTTTAAACTGTATATATAACGAACCTTTTTCGCCGAGGTTTCGCTCGCCGGATTCCAGGTTCAGTCCTACAATAAATTTATTTGATAGGAGCAGTGGAAAGTTTGCGATGGTATGACGTATGACGTAGACAGAGATTTTGCTACTGAAATCTAGGTTTCTTTGCTGTGAAATCAATGGATTCGTGATAGAAATGTTAATTTCTGCCCATCTTTGTACGGGAAACCATGTACCTTACTTAGTGATTAAAATGCCAAAAATATATTTCAACTTAATAACACCAAAATTCATTTTTAGAACCGTCTTAGTTTTTTTTAATATGAACCAACGCAAAGATTCAGTAGCTTGTTAAAAAGGTTTCGGACCTAGTAGACTATAAACTAATTGATGAAATGAATTTCTATATAACATTGTTCTAGAGCTTTAAACAGTAATACCGACTAATTTCATATAGAAATTAGATTTCATATAGAAATTATAGAAATTTCAATAAACGTTACTGAAATTTCTTTAATTAAGTAGATGTGCCAGCTGATGATGATTACTTGCTAAAAATAATTTAAGATCAGTCTAATCTATGATTAGTCCACTATATATTTTATATGTGGAAAATATGATATAACAAAGTCAGATGGTACTCAAGTTAAAAGAATACTGTTAACTGTGAGATTTAGTTATAAACATGGAGATATCCAAGCTAATGATATTCCAAAAACAAGTAAGACGACGTAAAAAAATTAGAAATGTTACATAGACGGTGAAATGATAGAAATTATAAAAACTTTTAAATACCTTGGTACATTTATAATACTTGAACGCATGTAATGTCAAACAATTATGAAGCACTTTCTATTAAATTTAAAGTACATGAATTGTCGATCAGATGAACTCTTACTAATGACATTTTAGAATAGGGAATAAATAAGTTCGTTGCTGCAGAAAACATGTTAAAGTTCTATATTAAAAGAACTTTTTACTTACCCATTAACATGCGTAGTTATATATTCCCATATGACCTAGACAGCCAATAATACATAAGTGCCTTCAAGACGCATATTGATTTATCAACTGAACTCTAAAATTGCCTAAAAAACTACTATAATTTATATCATAGTGGACCATTATTTGATCTTAAGTGGGTGTTGGTACATTAGGTCAGTACTTTTAATCTAACCACAATTTAAACTTATGAAGCAAGTCTTAAAGCAAATAGCATTATTCTTTTAAAACTGTACTGAAATATTGACCGTAATTCAAGAGCTCCTTTATATGGGTGATGTAACAAGCTCCAGACTTTGGCAGATAAGGGTGTTAGAAAAAATCAGCGAAAAACAATGGGCAATGTTTATAGAGAAAGTAAGAAGCAGCCTCACAAGAATTGTATTCAGTACATTAAACTAGGCAAAAAAAATAATTTTTATTAGTATTATATTGAAAACAGGAGAAGAGCTTTTGAAACTTTATTATATGTTTGAAACATTTTCGATTTTGACGACGTAAAATACATGTTGAATGGCTGGAATTGGGTAACACTTTAGAAAAAGCAGAAGAAAAGGGGTATGAAGAGAGCAGAATACAGAAGAAAGGTATTACAAAGAAGCCTTCTGTTGTATTAAAAGAAAATAATCGAGTGCAACATTCAATGCATAGTAAATTGCATAAAATAATGCACGAAAAAAAAATTTTAATACATATTCTTGTCTGAATATACATATGTATGTGAATTACCTGAAATTATTATATATGAAATATAATTTAAATTAAACCCCAAACACACAATTATATCAGTCATTACCGTAAGATTAAGGATAAAATATATGTAATTAATTTATAATATATTAACAGAAACAACTACTTAGTAAAATAAATAATTATAAGATGAGACGGAATACAATCAGATAATACTAAAATAAATAATTATTTAATATAGTAATTAAAAATTATATGTGTTTGTATAAAAGTTTTATTTATTTTTATTTTTATAGGTATATACAGAACTTCGATATAAGCATAGTGGATGAGGCTACACAATGTACAGAACCGCTAAGCTTGATGCCACTTCAATTCGGAATAAGTCAATTAATTTTAGTCGGTGATGTTCATCAACTTCCAGCCACTGTAAAGTCAGGGGTAATAAATATACAATGCTGAATAATATTTTGATATATTTACATTTAAACATTACACACAAGTGTTTTTGATTATGATTTCATTTAAATTCATTTTTATTTTTAGTATGCTGCAACGCTGGGATATGGAAGGTCAATCTTTACTCGTATTGAAAACTGTATTCAATCATCGAATGACAAAGGACATGTAATGTATATGTTACGCAAACAATATCGTATGCATCCAGATATATGTCTATTCCCAAATCAATACTTTTATAATAACAAACTGATTAATGCTAACTCTACAAATAGTCATTTAACTTTAATTTCTCCATATTGTGTGCTAAACTTAAATTATCCGCAAAATGAAAATTGTTTCTATGGACAAATTAGAAACGATTTAGAAATCGACTTTATAGCAAATCTTATTGTGGCTTTAAACGGACTTTTACCACATAAGTTATACTCTTATGGGATTATAACGCCTTATGCAGAACATCGAAATGCTTTGTTGGCGGCTATTCAGTAAGTCAAAGAATAAATAGTTTCATGGATATAATATATGTATATATAATTAGATATTGATAAGACTAAAATTGAGCATGATAACCATGTGGATATAATTTGAATTCAAATAAATTTGAACAGTTTTCTTTCATATTTTCTGATATCTACATATATTAGACGACGAAATGTTTCTAATACATGCCAGTTATTTCTGATTTCAGATAGACCTTGGTATTTTATTAATTGCTTATTTAGACTATAATATTTATAGGAATTCGAAGCAACCTTTGCCTTTCACTAAATGAAAATATATTTTAATTTAATGGATTGGTTTTACAAACTACAGTCAAACTTCTATAACTCGAAGTACCGTTTTGCAATTGTTCAAATCCAGATTTTTTAAAGCAATGCGCCAACGTTTGCCAGGGACTGGCATTTGCACAAAGAGGCAACATGAGAAAGAAAAAATTGAAACAATTGGTTTGGAAAAAGGAACTTTCTCTAACACCAAAATAGATTCATACTTAAAACAAAAATTCGACTTATAGAATGCACTTTTCCATTTTCTGATTGGCACGGGACAATATTTTTATTCGAGTTATGGAGAAATTGAGTTATAGAAGTTCGAGTAAGCAGAACTGTATGTAATTTGCTCTCTAAAACCCTGTTGTACTCTTTTTAGTTTGAATTATGTACATAAAATTCGAGTTATAGCAGTTTGAGTTATGGAAGTTTTACTGTACTTTATGACAATAAAGTATATTAATTATACTTTTTAAATTAAATATTTTAATTAAATATTTTGAATTAAATATTTTTAGCATCGACTGCTATATAATATAAGCAATATTTCCTAATTGCTATATTTTCTTATTGCTATATTCTGTATAAGATTATTTTAGACAAAAATTGTCTTCAAAATTTTAAACGTTTTATTAATAGGTATATTGTCGAAATACTTATATACGGACCATCGACCATGATTAAATCGATTTTTATTTAATTTGTTGATTTAATATCATTTAATATCCTTTCGTATATATTTCAGCAAGAGACGTTTGTATAATATAATGGTAAATACGATCGACTCGTTTCAGGGTCATGAACGTGATGTCATTATTATATCAAATGCACGTACAGTTGGAGTAGGTTTTCTTTCATGTCGAGAACGTATAAACGTAGCTTTGACTCGTGCAAAGAAATGTCTTATATTATGTGGAAATTTCTCAAATTTAGAGGTAAGATATTATTTTTAAAATAATATTTTATTTATTTATAGAAAATTTACATAAAATAGTCGGTTCCCGTATGGAGTGATTTACTAGATAATGCACGGAAACGTAAGGTGTATTTGGAACTAGACGCACTAACTGCAACTAATATCCAAGCTAATGTTATTGATAAAATTCAAATTAATTATTTTTCATAACTAAACATTTACAGTTAGTTTGGACAAAAGCTCTTTTGTCATCATTTTAAATAATATCAAATATTATTTCATTGTTCCTTAATTTCTATATGTAACATTCAATGTATTTTTCTTTTTGGAAATAAAACTTAATTTATTTCAACACATTTTTGTCTACGGTTTTCATTTAGTTTTTAAAAACAATTTCTATGAGATTATATTACTAAATTACTTAAATGGTCATAACAACCCGTTACCAGCTTGTTATTCCCTCGAAAACTCGCAGTGTTGCTTCATCATTTTGTGATAACGTCCAAGTTCATGCCATACAAAAGAACATACCTTCTGCTCAAAAAGTACTCGGATTTTGTAAATAAAACACACAAATTTAAATTTCATTCCAAACTTATTTTATCTCCTTCAAAAAATACTCCTTCTGAAGCGATACACATGCCAACACTTAATCCAATTTTCCATACAATTTTCGTAGGCCCGTGAAGGTATGGCTTTTAGTTCCTTCAGCGAATTCTCTTTTACCGATTCAATCGACTTAAAACGCTTACCACGAAGGTGCAATTTGAGTTTCGGGAATAGGAAAAAGTCGCACGGATGCAGATCTGGCGAATATGGTGCCTGAGCGATGACAGTGGTGCCGTGTTTGGTCAAAAAATTGCGTACAACAAGAATTTTCCATAGTAAAAATCGCTAAATGCACTTAAGGTAGTTACACATTAACAGCTGCTGTAAACAAACTAATTGACAGAAGGCGCTCAAATTTATACCATATGTCAAAAAAGGGTGTAACAAGGGAATGGTAATTCAAAAGAATAGTTGCCAGCTACTAGCTTAACGTCTTAACGACGCACATTTTTACCAGTTGCCGACATATACTTTGTTTTGCACACCCATTTCATTTACCGCTAAGCCCACTTGTGCAGATTCCTTTTCGGTAGCAGCAAACGTAGCTGTAACATCACGTTTGCTACACGAAATGATGTCGATGTTGTCGGCGATGATTAACACCTGCCTTGCGATCACCTTGTGTGAAAGTGATTCTTTGTTGTTATATAATCAATGTATTACAACACGCACTTTATTATGACTAGGTGGTGGAATTTAACACCATTATTTTCGATTAACTTAAAGCCTTAAGTTAGACAGTTGACGTTTTGGTAAGTCTGGGCAGGTGACTCTGTTCCTTCCTTATCTCACGATATTCTTTGTTCACTCTGTCGATTTCTGACTGCAGAGTCCTTTTCCAGATCGCGTTTTTCTGAAGTTGCGCGTAGGGAGTAAGAGAAATGGCGCTATTGTCTATCGGCATTATGGATCGTTCGATGTCTATTGGCTGTTTTTCGTTCTCAGCTTCAGAGTTTAACATAAGCCAACATCATGTAAACTTGTCATAAACATAGGTTGACTCTCTAATTCGTAAAAAATTGGCATGCCGAAGAGCCACTGATAACTTGGCCAAACTTTTTACTTATAAATGCTTTATAAAGATCATAAATAATAATGACCAATATAAACTTTATTAAAATTAATTTTCAATAAACTAAATTTTTTATATTATATTATATCATATTACATATCATTATATTTTATATTTGGATATATATCCGTATATCAGTAACGATGCGTTCCATATCTGAAAAGTTATGTGGCTCTTCTATAATGTTCTATAATTCTATTTTGAATTAAAATCTTCAATACTACAAATTTTTATTTAATAATACTTATAACTAACAATAAAATGTAGCATTTAACTTCATCATTTTACATTAAACTATATCTTTACAGCATTCAAAAAACGTTTCACGATATGTTATTTACTATCGATGTGAAAAGCTCTCTCGATCGCGCAGAGTGTATCAATTCGCCAATAGTTCGAAGTCCTGTCCAGGTGCGGATGTTCCTTAACCATGAGAATTGTTTCCGCCCAACATCTCTGCGACCTTCTACATGGCCTTGAAGTATAAGTTGCAATACATCGTATTATCATCGTGGTATCAATGTCAATGTTAATATACTGACCGTTTATTTTTATACCTTTGTCGTTATGGTTTTGAAAAGCATCGTCAATGATTCGTTTTGCATATATATTGAATAGAAGTGGGGATAGTATACCCTGTCTCACACCCCTGTTTCACGCCGTCTGTTTACAATACAGATATGAAATACACTGAATATCTTTCTCGTCAATGTCAATACTCCTGAGTATTTCAATTAGTGTTTGATGTACTTTATCAAATGCTTTCTCATAATCTATGAATCATATACATATATACATCATTTTGCACACTTTTGCGGTTTTGAACTTGTAAACAGAATATAGCTTCTTGAGTTCCCATAGCATCTCTAAATCCAAATTGTGTGCGACCCATTATCGCTTCAAATTTTTTGTATATTCTTGCATGTATTATTTTTAATTTGAAACTATGGTTCAGTAGGTTTATTGAGCGAAACTCATCATATTTTCGGGCATTTTTCCTTTTGAGTAGCGCTATAAACATCAATTGTAACAAGCCAGTCAGTTTTAAATTTAAATAACATTATTCTGTCAAAGTAAGGTAGAAATTCAGTAGCTGAGTTTATCATTCTTTTCGAAATGTTTATTCTATGCAGTGAAGTGTTATTTCCCGAATAATAAATCTTATATTCGTTTGATATTAGTTAGCCAGAATCAGGCTATCAAGTTTCGCTTGATATCGTTAATATCGTTTCGTTTCATATCGTTAATGGTACTGACAAATTTACCCGCTTCGAATAAATTGCGCACATTCCATGTTTCAATCCTAAGTTTATGATTTGTTTTACCTCCGGGAATTCTTAGCACCGAATTACCGAAATTTGAGAGCCGCGGTTCTATATTGTCTGTCATCTTGCTTAGGCTAAAGTCGGTTTTATTTTTTTAAGAATATTAACTTTTATTTTAAGCGTTATGTTTTTGTATATTTCTATACGTATTTCGACAAATTCGTCCCCCCCCCCCTGACTTCTCCACCTGCAGCACACTCCCCGCAAACCCCCAGTATCTCAACCTATCATCAATGAGCAGATCTCTCACTAAAGCTAACCCCCACACTTGCGCCATAACTCCGCTCCCTCCATTATACCCACTGCTATATCCATGAGCATGGGCGTATCATGCTTTCTGGGTTAGAAAAACCTAGCCCGCTAGGTGTTAAGCCTCTCACTTACATCTTACTCCCCTGATTATTGGAATGAAGTTTTGACATTGCTGTGAAAATTATCTCCATTCATTCCTAAGAGGCGGTTTAAGTTGGTTCAAGTCTCACACTGTGTCTTTCGATGCGTTCCACCTTCTGGGAAAAAAAATGATTAACTGACGCGATTGAAAGTAGAGTTATAACAGCATCAAAACCGAGTTTTGCACTTTGAGTTGTGAAATTTAAAATATTATCACATGGAGCATACACCCTGAAAACAGTGAAATAAATGCGTGTTCCGAATGATATTAAAATAATTACTAATATTTAAATTTCAAACTTTATATAAGCTATATATAGTAATTTATAACCAATAAAATCCAAAACCAATGATATATTTATATAATTGTCATGTGTACTATTTATAAATTAAAACCAATTTAGTTAGATTTATGTTTTTATTATACACATTGAAGTTATTACATATAACTTGGGTGAAGCATTTTCATTTAGTTTAAAAGACAAAAATTCAGCTTCATATTAAGGAATTACAACATAAGATTAATTTTACTCTTAGATTCACTTTTCTTACATAGGTACTCTATATTTGTAATTGATTTCAATATATTTACTAATTATAAACATCTATAAGTTATACAACATTTGTTATTTTAACATATTCATTTCTATGAGTATATTTTACAACTCAGATATACATAGATATATATATATATATGCTAGTACTGCACTCGTTTATTTCGCTTTTTTCAGCTTTATTTATTGCTAATTGTTTATTCTGTTCTTAATTTGATGTAACTTTCTGTTTTATTTTATTTTTCTCATTACTGATCTTATTCTATGATGTATTGCAATAAATGATTTTATGAATGGTGGCCACATTTTTTAAATGTATGAAAAAAACCCTTCTTTATTGTTACTCATGCCTACATCAACGGTTCTAACTATACACTATCCCCGCTATTCTGTGAATTTGACAAATTTATCAAGTACTGACAATTAACCAAGATTTTTATCAAGAAAAGAACTTTTTATTTATAGCACAGAATACCAAAATCTTGACAAATTGTCAATCCTAAAACAAGTTGATAAATTTATCAAGTACACAAAATATAGGATTATACTATACTTGTTGTTGCAATAAATTTCTATGAAAATTTCAGCAAACAATTTCATTTATTTACACGAGTATAGATATATATATATATGTGTATATATAAGTATGTACTTTTATAAATCTTAAGGCTTAACATTTTTCATACCCTTTACTCATCTTTTTTGTAAAACAATATTCATCATATAATAAATTATAACGCTTTAATTCATAGGTGGAGTAAATAATATCCATTACATATCAATATGAATCAAGTCTATAAATAAGTAAGTTTGTTGTCGAATTATTTAAAATAAAATATTAATAACATTAGTGTTCATTGATATTGTTTTTTGAAATTTTTATTAGCCACTTGGCTTTGCACGTATTACCATATACATACTTAACTAATTATAAAAATAAGGAAATAAAGTCACTTGGTAGAATATTTGGTAAAATGTTTTGAGAAATCATCTAAACTGTTTCCAAGAATATCTAAGCTAATATTTGTGGATATTCTGAAGTTTAGTGTTTTTGTTTGGTTACATATTTATAATCTGTACAGTGTTATATAAAAAGTATATAAAAAACTAAAATATAAAGTTATAATTTCTAAGATTTTTGCAATATAATTTATAATATGTTCTAATATTATTTCAACAACTGATATTAAAGGATGAATTATATATGATGCAAATTTTAAATATTTTTCAACAACATAAATAAAATATATAAAAAATTATAGATTAATTTTTTATTTTCTTATATACTGTTTACAAAACACAACAAATTATTAATACATAAAATAATAAATATGTAGTATAAAATATGAACAAAATGTGTAACAAAAAATACATTAACATTTGCATTAATAAATATATATACGCACATAAAAACTTAAATATGTAATATACAACATACACGTATACCCGTATATATTTTTATAAAAAAAAACGTTTATGTAAATAAGAAAATAGATTGAATTTTAATATAAATAATCGTACTAATCTATGATTGAATTTTGTATATTATTTTTATTAAACATTAAAACCATTTAATAATAATTTTGAACAAATAAATAAATACAAATAATCATTTTATTTTACTTTATACTTATTTTTTACTTTACAATAACATTTATATAAATGTATTTTACTTATTTTCTCTGAATGCCTGATAAACACTTCGCACATCAAATAATTTTTTCATTTTAGGTTTTAAGTTCAATTTTTAGTTCACAAAAAACTTTTTATATAATAACATTAGTTATATATTTAAACAAATGATTTACAAATTTTTTTTTATTTTAGAACAACATAATCTTGTTAATAATATTTCCTACAATTCACATATAATATTATTGAAATTTGAGTTTTCGATACATTATGTGTTATTGAATAAGTAAAGGATTTTAATCAACCACCACTAATTTAAACAAACTTAATTCCAATAAAAAATAACTATTACATATATTCTAAAATGTAATTTTACATGATTACATGTGTTTGAAAAATTAATTAATATTGCACTTAAAAGATTAATTTAATTTTTTGATCAAATGCATAATATAGTTAACTTTCATTTTATTTAAGAAAAAACTGAGTACTTATACTAATGCTTCACTGCCTCTGACTCGAATAAACACAATGCCTGACAATATTGTAGAATTGAAATTTTAAAAAGTCAAACTTATACAGTGTTATATATTTTTTTTAATAAGTTAATGAAATATTAGATACTGCCTTTAGATTCTTATATGTCAAAGAATTTATTATTTTGGAGAAAAGTTTATAATATTTCAGGATTGTTACATTGTAAATACGTTTGGAAAGAGTTATACATAATTTGAAATAAATTATTATATGACAATAGAAAATAGAAAATTTTTTTAAATACAACAAATGGAAAATAATTGTATTCATAGTTATATGTTAAAATTAAACATAATAAAAGTTGATATATAAAGTTTTGTTTAGTGAAAATGACAATAAATCTTTTTATAATTTGCTTAAGTATTATAAAGCTTTACAAATAAAAATTAATATAATTTATAAATAAAAATTGTTTTTATAAATCTAAAAAATAATTTAATATTTAAATAAAATTATTTATATATTCTTAATTTTTTAGTATTTACTAAGTTATAAAATAACACAATTTTAATATTTTAGTTAAGAATGTCGCCGAGGTTTTCTTGAAGTGATTTATAAATTTGTATTTGTTGTTCTTGTTTTAAATTAAAGATCTGAAAACAAAAAAAAAACATGATGATTAATTATAAAACCGTATTTTTAATAACATATGATAAAAATATCATTGCTGAACTGCAAAAGTTAATGGAATATCAGATAAATATTTTATTCTTTTATTTTATACAATAATTTATTAGTGGACTAATTGGTCAATTTAATAGAAATAAAAAATTATTATTTATTATTTATATTTTAAAACAAAAATAAAATATTTGTACGATATTTAGACTGTCTTCGGTAGTCATCTTCAGCGAAACTGAAGATGCGATTACCCCATTAATAAATAATTATGGAATATGTGATATATATCTTATTCGTATTTATGTTATATATCATATATCTTTTCACTTAATTTTTTTTATAAAGTGCAATAATTTTGCACTTAACATAAATATTACTATTGCTCTTTTTTATAGTTTATTTTTAATATTAAATGTATTAATTTGATACATACCTGAGTTAATAACTTTGCCGGTGATGGAGTTCTTATAAAACTAGATATGTAAACATTTACAAATGTTGCCATTAAAAATTGGCAATCAAAACGATCCATTATGCCACCGTGACCAGGAATCATATCTCCGAAATCCTATTCAAACAAAAATATTTTAAAGATGTAAGGTTATATTTAAAATAATTGCTGCAAACCTTAATTTTGAATGCACGTTTAAATCCTGAAGCGAAGAAACCTCCAAATGGTCCAATAATTGAACTAAACAAGCTTAATGAAATTGAGTGCCATATAAACGGATACATGCTAATCGATTTACCGATGCCGAACTATATTAAATACATAATAAATATATTAATTACTATTAAATAAATTTTAATTGGTAAAATAAATTAAATTATAACAAATAATATTACATTCAAATTTAAAAAAATGATTTCATATTTTAAACCTTCAAGATTTTTCACACATTATTTAAATTTCAAATTAATCATATAATATATTTTTACTATCTATAGCAATTTTAACAATTGCATTATGAATAAACACATTTATTCTATTTTTTTGAAAAGACTTATGTGGAAAAAAATAAATATGTACATATTAAAAAAGAACGAAAATAAAAACTAATTTACAAGCTTTTATTTTATTCACATAAACCTTTTTGAAAAACAGTCATTTAAAAAAGTGGACTCACAAATGCTCTAAAAATATTTATTTTAAACTTTTAAAGTAAGATTTATGAAAATCTCCGCATATAAAAATGTGAGAATTGATTTAATCAGTTTTTAAATAAGAATTTTAACTGTATATTTTAACTGTAACCGAACTGTATATAGCTACGACAAATAATATATATTAAAGGTACATATTGTATATATAAAAAATAATTTCTAAAAGTGCTTGCACAAAAATAAAAAAGCCTATATTGATTTTATAAATCTACTTTAATTTGTTATTTAAAATATCTCATATTTTAAAAGCTGAATGTCCTTACAGCTAAAATTTTCTTGATCCTTAGATATAATATAATTTATTTTATCTCAGTTATTTAAACATTATAAAAAATTTTTTAAAAATATATAAATAATATAAAACTGGTTCACAATTTTTCTACAATAAATGAATATAATATATATTGTTTCATATCTTACTATTTTTAAGCTATATTCTTGCAGAGTAAACAAATAGCTTGGCTCACATTCCATCGTCATACGTCCTAATTGCTCAGAATATTGTATTGAGCAAACGAAATACTGATAATGACACAGTATGTAAGAGAAAATAATACCAAAGAGTACTGTTGCAAAGCCACCACCAATGAAACCCTCCCAAGTCTTTTTAGGACTTAATTTGATTAAGGGTGTTTTTCCAAAGAAGAAGCCAAACATATAGGCCATCACATCATTACAAACAATCATTGAGACCGGCACAATGAACCAAATTAAACCTTAAATTTTATAAAAAAATATTTATTAATATTAATATTAATTGTGAGATATGAGATGAATATATATAAAGACTTACCTTCGAATATATTTTGTATAATTAGATAACTTTGAGTTACTACTATTAACAACGAAACATGCGTCCAGGCGAATAAACTGAATTGTTTCATATAATATTTTTTAACTAAAGATAAAACGAACCATACAAATCCAATACAATACAATGCGAACGACAAGAACCGATGATACGTAACTAAAAATTTTAGGTATTCCTAAAAAGTACAATGTAGAACTTTTTAAAACATATATATGTATATATTAAAAAATTTGTATTTACCAATCTATTTATTACAACGCCAAAGTAATCGACTAGATTTTCACCATAGAAGAAATAATTTGATGTTAACAGAAAGTACCAGGAAAGACTACGGAACCATGGTAGGCCATGAATGCGATAAACTTGATAACCAATAGAAATTATCTCTTGGAAACATTTCACTTGTACAAGCAAGGTCTAAAAAACAAAAATAAATATATGATAATTTAATAATATATATAAATAATTTTTTTAATGTTTAACTTATTTATTAAATCTGATTTTCCGATTGGAGACTAATTAATCAAATGTTAAAATTTCAAATTAGATTACATGTATATAACTAAAAGTTAACTACAATATAATCAGCAATTCTTAAAAATAAAGAAAAATTCAAATATTATATCAAAATAAGTTAAAAGGTGGTATAAAGGATGAATATTCTCTTTTGGTCGGGTTAACCCTTTTGGTGGTTTGTTAACCGAAGGTTTTTAGACACATCAACAAAAGTTTTTTAATAAATGAGATACCGGAGCCTTGTAACTTCTTGATTTGACTTTTTATAATTCTGATTTGAATACTGATACTTGATTTGAATACTGATACTTGAAGATGTTTGTAATGTACTTGTAGGGTCCTCTTAATATTTATAAATTAGCCCTTTGCAGAGTTTTTATATTTAATACAAATGCATTGTCATCTCCAAATTATAAAAACAGACAGCGTCATTTGTTCATAAATATTGATTTTCGAAATGTTTTCAGCCAATTCTTTTTTTTAATCTAAGATCCCTTATGTTCAACTTTATGTTCAACCCGTTATTCGTCTTCAGTGAAGATTTAACTTAAAAATGGGCAATTTTGTTGACGTTTAAGAAGAAATCACAGAGTTTAATCTTTTTTGTAAGAACTTACTTATTGAACCAATATTCGATCAATTTAACATCTTAACAATATCTTTCATATCTTAACAATCTTACAAGTTGTTGTTCGTTTGTTGAATGCTTTTATTTTTTCTTTATCAACTTCAACTGTTCGACCAGAAAGCAATACATCTTTAACATCAAAATTACCTGGACAATATTTTTCCACAGTTGTGGTTCTGTCAATATATTTTCGGTTACTAACATTATATATATTTTGTCTTACTTGAGCAGTGTTTTTTACATTTTTGATAATAAAAGCGTAAAGAAATGCTTTTTTACTTCTTTTTAACGATTATCTTTTGTTTGATATATTTTTGTTTATTGCAGAAAATCAAACAAATATAATATATAATGACCATTCGGCTTTAATGTGAATTTGGGTGAAATAAGTTCTCTATTGGATGAAAGACGATATACTTTTTCAATCAACTCAACAAAAACCATAGATATTGGCTGTTAGTAGGCAAAGCAGTTACTAGTAAAGCTATTAGCTTGAAGTCTAAATTAAACTTTTTTATTTCTATGCCTGAATATTGATTGAAGGTATTAAAATGGCTGAGTGCTTTTATTAAGAGTATTATTAATATGGCGGCATTTTTATTCTATAATTTTGACACAATAATAAATTTTTTTATAATAAAATTTTATGAAAATATAAAACGAAAAAAAAATAAACAAAATTTTAATATTATAAGGTCATAATTACCGTTATCATTAATGCGAGTGGGCCACCGTATATTATCAGCGCAAATCCACATACCATTATCCAAGTGAAAATACCACGTATTACCCAGTTTTTCCATCTAAAAATGTTAATTGTGACGATAGGCAAAGTAAATATATAAATAAACCAAAATATTTGAGAATAAACAAAGCAAAATAAAATCAAACAAGTCATAAGTGGGAAGACATCATCCACCTGTGGCTTTTCAGAAGAGCTTTAAGCTTTGCAAAAGCTTTCAATTCTTGAATATTTTATTATATTTCTTTTAAATTATAATTTTGAAAACTCACCTGTCTGGTAAATCTTTCAAAGCGGAGTCCAAAATCTCTGGAGTTTTATCAGTGCCTTGTGGAAGTTTTTTTGAAAGTTCTTCGACGAATTTTTCTTCTGGTAAAATATCTTCTTCAGAGTCAACCTACACAACAAAAATTTTTAATCGATTAAAATTCAATTATTTAATTATAGAAGAAATTAGTTATAAGTAACTATTAAATAACTAACTAAATAACTATTAAGTTGTTAACAGAGCTATTTTGAAAAAGCACACCATGATATTAAATGTAATGTCTGAGAATCAATAAATAATTAATAAAAACTGTTTTTTTAAACATACAAATTAGACAATTTTAAACGAAATTAGAAATCAGACGTTTAAACTCTTAACATGAAATAGTAAATAAACTGATTTAACATGGCAGGGGACTTAAAGTATATGCACAAAATTTTCTATTCTGATTCTCTACAGACATATTTAAATAGGTAAGTGCTGTACAAAGATTAAGCGGGAAACTTTTCATCTGATATTTTTGTTAGAAATAGTCATATGTAATTAGTTGAAATATAATAAAGTATCTATACCATAATTACTAACATTTCTTGAAATTTAATCCTAGAATAGTAGGCTGCAATTTCACTTGACTTTGGAAATTCGCGGAGTCGCATTCATAAAATATTCTTGTATGTTACCCAGAAGCATTACGCAGGTTTAACACACTATAGAATTCGCATTGCATATGTTACTAAGCTCTATGTATGCTATACAATACTTTACAATTAATTGATTTTGAATTCTGTATAGCTTTCTCAGGTATATAAAGTAAGAAATAATGCATATTCAGGTAGCTGATATATGAAACTTCTACATACTAAATTTTAAAAAATGATACTCTGACTAGATGTATAGTCAAGCACTTTGATTCCTAAACACAATACCCTATGAGAATATTGGGTTTCCCAATCGATATTCTGCGAAATGATTAAAAATGATCCATGAATAAAATTTAACAGGTATGGAAACATAGCTTTGTTCACTGAGATCTCACTTCATAGAAAATAATATAAGCGTATATAATGTACCTAGGCACTTATATAATCCATTATACATTATATTAGAGATGCATAAAGCATATTAAAATAATCATACAGTTTATTATTCTTAAACTTAGTGATCTCTACTAAAAATATAAAAGTATCATAATGGTCCTTGATCAAAAATATGGGAGCCACTGGTCTACATTGAAGATACTACAACTGCAACAAATAAAGACAGAGAAGAAACATTTCAGATGCGAAATTATTGATCCAGTAACTGTCTCAATTATAAATTTAAGAATATGGTTACAATCGAATGATCGTATTGATATCAACATGCCAATTAAAAATATATATATATATCTCCAGAACGATTTGGAATGTTCGCTAATTAAAAACATTAAGTATATGTGTTAGTATTTGTAAAATGACTAAAATTATCACAAGTGCCTCGACATTGATTGTTGCACTGTCTGACTGTTTTTTAAAAGCATAGATGATTTTTTGCTTAGAGTTGAAAATTAAATATAATTAACAGTTCCGAAACTAAAATACTTTATAATACATATTATATCCATGCTTATTGTCAATAATGAAAATGAATCTCCTTTTTGATTCTATATAACAAAATGCATGCCAAAGCTTAATATAAAGTCATCTAAACTAAATTTAGAATATGATGACTTAAAAACAACGAATCATTAATTAAACAGCTATTAATAGTAAATCGAGTCATACAGTGAGCACCAACCTACTTTTTAACAGGATTGCAGTTCTTTAAAGCACTTCTCTGACAGATATCCTTAACAATTTAGGCTCTAATTGAATAAGTTGAACCTAATTCTGTTACATGTACAATCTTATATCGCTACTAGAAATCATTATAATATATAAATCTGTAATATAATGTCTTTTTAGCTTTTCACCGTTTTTTAAGATTTGACTTTCTATTGTTTAGGTGGATATATAAAAATAGTGCTAAGCTGTATTAGACATTAAATATAAACAAGTTAAAAGAGAAACTGTTTTTTGTAGAAGCAGAATGTAGAAGAATAAGAAAATGGAATAAAAGTTACTAAAATAACTAAAATTAAACAATAAAACTGCAAAAACTTAATACTTATTAGTGTAAATTAGTATTTAAATCAAATACAATTATACGAGATGTGAACAAGTAATGAGAATTTTCAATTTTTTTAATAGTATTTATACAATTTTCTATCCTCTTCAAAGTAGTAGTGAATAACACTGTGTGTTGGAACACCTTTTTAGGTTTGGTCTTGAGCTCGCCCTACACTTTCTCATTTATTGTTAAATATTATTAACTATTTGTATGTGTTTTTTATGAAATGGGAAAAAATTACTGATTGAGATCTCTAGAGACTAAAGTGGTGGCGACATTACAGTGATGTTATTTTTTACTAAAAACTATTGGATAAGCAAAACAAAATGATTTTTGGAACAAATTTTACCACCATATCTTTTACGTCCAAATAATTTCTATTTTTTTATATTTCCTGAAAGTTTTAAAAAATAATATTTTCAATGTTGATAATATAATACAAACATCTAAAAACATCTAATACATTTGCATGTAAGATGCAAAAAACATTTTCCGCTTGGAATGATATATGGAAGAAATATTAAAAATTTAGTGATTATACATATATAAGTTATTAATAAACTATACTAAGCTTGCTTTCATATAATAACAACATTATATAAACATGTTAACCCGATATGCTTTATGAACTTATCTACACGTAACTTAATTTAATAGAATTTTACAATAGTCACGATATGAGTTTGAAAACATAAGTTTGCTTTCATTTTTTTCTAAAACAATCCAAAGGCAAATCTAACCACTTGATGGGTTGTTAATGGAATATCCAAAACTAATTCATTAAACAAAACATATGTACATATGTTATCTAAACAATATAAAATAAAATCAACTATATTGCTTCTACATAGTTATGTATATAACATTGTAGTTTTATGTATTTTTTATTTCTTTAATAAATGAATCATATAATATTTAGCTATTACATACGCTTATAATAAATATTCATCTGAATAACCAACAAAGACTTAATATCTCGATTAGGAAAATACAGTTAAACCTCTCTAAACCGAACCGTCCTATAACGAATTCCTCTCTATAAAGAAGTTTTGTTGAAGACACAGCAATTTTTTAAATTTCTAGACATATTTGAACCTCTCTATAGCGAACCTCTCTATAGCGAAGTCCTCTCTATAACAAAGTTTTTTCAGGCTCGCAAACAAATTTTTGCATACAAAAAACCTTTCAACTAACACGTTTTAACTTATAAGAACCTTCTTTTTAATAGGAAAGGGCACATTTTTGGCTCCTGAGTGAAATGGTTAAGAGGGATTAAGGGAAGGAAAGACCATCGTGTGCATTTACTGAAAGTAAAAATTTTAAATGAATCTCGCTTTTAATACGAGCGATAAAGAATTTTAAGAGCGGTTTAGAAATTGTTGAGTCTAACTACTAACTTATTGGAAGTGTTTCTTGACAAGAAAAAAGTTGAAATATCCAAAAAAGTAAAAGCAACAGACTTTTTTCGACTTAAATAAAATAAATAATTATAAAAATTTAAAATAATAAATTAACTTATTAAATTAAACTTTAAATTAAAGTAGTTAATAAAAATAATTTTTATCTTAATACAACCCAATATATGGTTAACGTTTTTAATATTTATATAAAAAAATATATATTTTTATTTAAAAAATCATGAATTAAATATATTTTTAAAATAAATACGTACATAACAAACAAAACTTGTTTAACCTTTCTCTAACGAAGACCTCTCTAGAACGAAGTTTTTTGCAGGCACCAACGACTTTGTTATAGAGAGGTTTGACTGTATTTAAAAAATGATTGAGTCTAATTCATAATAAAAGAGTGATTAAGAAAAAATAA